CACTTCTATAATATATTATAATAATATTCTAATTACATTTAGCTAAGGCTTTAGCGTTCTTTTAAGTCTAGGTATAGGTTAAGAGTAAAGGCTTTAGGTCTATTAAGAAGATGTATATTATACTAGTAAATAAGAATAAAATTAGAAGCTTACTTAAAACTTGCAAAGCTATAATATACCTCTATAGCTCTAGTATAAAAGGCGTTATACATAAGCTTAGAACTAAGCATTAAGACCTAGCTATAGTAAGTAGCTAGTAACGCGCTAGAAACGTGTTTCTAACATAATATAGGCGTATATCTAATAAATATACTCTACTAATAATAGTATATTTATATACTACTTTCTTAATAAGTAAGCCTCTCTATTACTTTAATAGAATATATTCTAGATAGATATGTTATATAAGCGTATCTATAGTAAGTAGTCTAAGTTACTCTTTACTATCTTTAATAAAGATACTATAAAATATAAGTAAAAGTATATTAACGCGCCTATAATATATTCTAAATATAATATAGTAATCTCTCTTAAGAAAGTTGTTATAGATATTAATTCTATAGAAATATATATAGAGGTATTTACTAAGTTCTTTAAGCTCTGTTTAGAGGCGTTAGAAAAGCTAATTTACTTCTACTATCTTTATAGAGATAGTATTATAGGTATTACTATTAATATAGATAATAAATAGTTGTAAGGTTAGTTATATTCTACTAAATTACGTTAGAAACACGTTACTAATATAATTCTATAAGCTAGAGACTCTTTCTCTAAGAATTTTTAGAAGTTAACTATAGATAGAAATAGTATTGTCTCTACACAGTTTGCCTATATAAAGCTTACTTTCTCTATAGTATTAACTGCGCTATTTCTAACACAGAGTATATAAAATACTCTATTTAGAGGTATATAAAGGCTCTTCTTTATTATAAATTACTAGATAAGTATTATGCCTATATTAGGCTTCTATAAGGTATAAAACTTCTTTTAATTATATATACAACACGTTCTTATAATATAGTAGAGAATAAATCTAAGATAGTTATAGATTAGATAGCTTATAAGGTACACTTTATTATTATAGATAGTCTTATAAAGTATAATAACTATATAGAGTAACGTATTTAGAACTTATTAGAGCGCACTTCTAATGTAGCTAAGTAAGCTAGCATAAAGTTATATTATAATAGAATTAATAAGACTTTACTTAAAGCTATTCTAATATAAGTATATTTAAACATATTAAGAACGTACTAGTAACGTATTTTAGCTTCTATAAGTAAGACCTCTAGAATATAAAGAAATATAAAGTAAAAATAGTCTATAGCGTCTACTATAAGAATAAATTATACTATAGTTATATATAGAGGTACTTTAAGGCTATAGAAAAAGAGAGTAAGTCTACTATATACAACGTATTTTATACATAGTCTTATTAAGTTTAGAGTAGAAATTAGAGTACTAGAACTTTATTATTATTAATAATAATAATAGTATCTTAGAGTAGACTAATTTATCTAGTTTTATTATATAAAGTAGATAACTAAGAGGTAGAGGCTGTAGGCGCTCTTCTCTAGCCTACTCTTCTCTAGCCTACTCTTCTTTAGCTTACTTCTCTTTAGCACTAGAAGCTAGCTTAGAGTAGGTCTACTATATTACATTCTTATTATGTTTCTAATACGCTCTTAGGCCTAACTCTTCTTAAGCTCTAAAGTAGTAAGTACTTAAGAGCAACTAGGCTATTACAGAGAGAAGAGCGCTCTTAGAAATTAAGAAAGAGAAGATAGAGCTACAAAAGTAAAGACTATAACTAGAGAAATATAAAGTAGAACTAGAAGAGCGTAGATAGTAGCTTTAGAGAGATAACTCTAGCTAAATTATACTATAAACGCGTTCTAATCGCAATTTAGTATAGTTACTATATATACTAGAGTCTATAGATAAAATACTAGCTAGTAGAATATAATAGAAATACATTATATACATAATCTAAGCCTATATTAATCTTTACCTAATATAGTAAGGCGTAATAAATTTTCTCTTACTAGCTTAGCCTTTTGCCTTTCTTTAGAGTTAAGCGCCTACCTACTACTATTCTTTCTCTCTCTACCTTCTCTCTTTACTCTACTATAGAACTTAAAACTATATATTAGTATATAAGTCTTCTAATAACACGTTTCTAATATAATCTAATTATATTTAGAATAACTATCTATAGTATAGCTAACTTAGTATTCTTTCTTAAGAGATACTACTATTTAGTAAATAAAATAGAAGTAGGTATTACCTTATCTACTAGAGAGAGATCTTCTATTACGCCTACTATTACTAGCTTAATAGACTACTTTATAGTATAAGTGCGCTAAAATTATATATAGAACATGTACTTATAATATTATAGTAGTAGTTTAGTAACTATAGTACGCTAGTAAACTACGTTAAAAGATACTACTTTAACTACCTAGTAGCGCCTATACCTATAGAGCAATTATTAATAAAGTAAGAAAAAGAAGTAATATTTTTCTTTAAAGGTATTATTTTACTAAGAGACTCTACTCTTAGAGTATCTACAAAAGACCTACTAAAATGTATTTCTAGTATAATTCTATTATATTTACTAGCTAAGGTACAGGCTAAGGTATAGTATAAAGCACTACTCTAGCTAAACTAACCTTTACTACTCTAAGAACGCGCTTTTCTAGACTTAGACTATAAGCTTCTATAGATAGATAGCTCTAAGCATAATATTTTACTATAGAGCAAAGCTAAAGATAATATAAATATATCTACTATACGTTCTACATTAACTCTACTAGCTACGCCTTTAATAAGAGTAATACGTAAGAGAAAGAGAAATAAAGCGTAGAAGAAGACTATAAAGGCTTTAATTTCTATTCTACTCTATAAGTCTACTAACTTAAAGTGTAAGTAGAAAAAAAGTAATATATATATTTTCTTTAACGCGTAGTAACTATATTACTAATATATATAGGTAAATTTAAATAAGGTTAGGCACCTACTTTTAAACTAGAAGCTTCTAATCTAATATAAGACCTATAAATTAAAGAAGAGAAATAGTTAGTAAATCTATCTCTCTAGTAAACGCGTTACTTATATATTATAAAGTGTTATCTAGAGGTTTTCTACTAATTAAGAAGATACTTTACTTTTCTAGATAGATAGTTAGCCTTTCTTTTTAATATATTATTATAATATTATATACTTCTATAATTAGATTAATATATCTATAAGAAACGTTATATAAACATATTATTAGCGCGTTTTGCTACTTAACTTAGTAATAGGTATAAGTTTTAGTATTTTTATCTATGTATAGCTACGCGCAAGCTACGCATATGCTCTATAGCTACCTAGGTTATATAATACTAAGCGCATTAGTTATAGATTAAGTAAGTTTAAGCAAAATATAATAATATCGCAATTATAACGTAATAGCTTTTTTTTAGCTACTACTAACTCTATTACTTACTAACTACTACCTTAAATTACTACTACTCTCTATAATACGTTATTAATAAGATAGTAACACGTTCTACTAAGATAGCTAATTATAGTTATCTACTCTCTTTAGGCTCTAGCGCTATAGTAAACTATATAAGCTTTTTTATATAAATATAACTAGAAAACGTATCTAATATGTTTTAGCCTACTTATTACACCTACTTTACTCTATCTACTCTACCTCTTCTATGCCTACTCTTTAAAAAGAACACTAATAGTAAGATTTTAATTTAGTACGCTAAGCAGCGCTATAGGCATGCTCTAGAAAATAGTACTCTCTATAGTATAAGTTTTTAAAATATATCTTCTATATATTACTAATATATTTAGACTATTATAGGTTCTTATAGCTCTTTTATAATCTACTATATTAACTAGTATAGCTCTATTATCTAGAGTAATACTTACTCTCTAAGTAGAAGGCCTAGCGCTACCTTTATCTATAGCGAAAAGAGTATATAAATATATTATCTATATATTTATAATATATACCTCTTCTCTTCTAAGTCTTTTTCTCTTTCTACTTTTTTCTTTTTTTTTATTCTTAAAGTTTTTCTCTTTCTTTTTTTACCTTTTTTCTTTATTAGCAAAACGTAATATAATTATAATTCTAATATATTTTAGAGTTCTATTAGATCTTAATAGATAACTATAACTTTAAGTATAACTATCTACTTAAATAAGTATAAGATAACGCCTTAGTTTAATAGAATATTCTAGCCTAGGTCTAGTACCTTATAAACCTAGTCTACTATTAAAATAGTTATCTTTAAGAATAGGTAACATATTCTTTATATATTTACTACGCGTTCTTATACTTATAATTCTTAGCTTTATCTTACTACTATAAGAGGTATACTTAATACCTATACTTTTCTTAACCTCTACACTAACTACTACGTTATTAGCTATAGTAAGCTTTCTTAAAATATATTTAATACACTCTACTAATACGTTACAGCGTATAACTTTTAAAAGAATAAAGATAATAATAAGAATTCTTATCTCTTCTATACTTACTTTAACTAAGCTATAGGCCTCTAGAGCATCTCTACTAATACTTATACTAATATACTACTTTATAGTAATATATTTATATTATATTTAGTATATAATTTAATTAGCAATAATAGAACTTTAATACTCTAATATATCTTCTTTACTTACTCTTTTCTATTTTTACTATAATGTCTTGTAAACATATTATATAGTATTTATACTAGTAAGCGCTAGCCTAAAAGAAGTCTTAGCAATAGTTAGGCTAGTTTTTTTAATAGTTAGATAAGCTGCGCTCTCCTGCGACAGTATATAGGCAGGTGGTATCCCCACATAAAGAGAGACACACAACATCGCAGATTTCCTGTATCAGACCCCCAGATACCGAATACTTCAAATTATCATCTACTCTAGTCTATCAGACACTACCACTTCACGACTACAATCACACACCTCGCATGCAACCCATCCTACCAACAACCATGTCTTCACCCGCAACTCAATACGTCTACGTCCCCAACCTCGTTGGCGGACAGATGCTCAGGATCCCCATCGAGGACGTCGAAGCAGAGGGCCAAATCTCCATTGCCCAACAGCCCATCGCCAGCCCAACTCTCTCTTCACGATACGTCCGCGACTCGTCACCATCGCCAAGCATGGAGAGCGTCGACGACACCGACGAGTAATAAACTCATACATCAAGGCGACGCACGAAAGACGAAGAAATGACGGCAAGCCTTGCACTGGTCTGCAGTCCAGCAAGGCGGAACTAGCTAGCAGCGGACGTCGTTGCCAAGCAGCCTAGTCGCAGCCTCGAATCCCCCACGAGTCAAACTCAGGGAGGACTGACATCATCGCCCCCCATACCCTCACTGCAATCGCAACCTTTCTTCCGAAATGACGACAGTTGGTGCCGTTGGTGCCGAGATGCCACCGGAGAAAACTTTCACATTGCGTGGAGTTGGCGTGTGGGGAACACGGCAAGCAAGGAGAGGATCTTTGGCTTGGCTGGAGTTGGAAGGAAGCTTGGGGAGGTGCCGATCGGAGATGGATAGGGCAGGCAGGCACGCGTTGGCTTGGCGTAGGGATTGGGATGGATCGATCGGTAGTCTTGGTTACTTAATGTCTATGAACTAATTTTTTGTGGTACTTTTGGTCACTTGATCTTTTCTATGCTGCATGAGGATGTGAATTGTGAATTGCGGTGTGCGTGCGTGTGCTCTGCATGCATTGACTTTGGGGTAGTAAAAGCAAGTAGAAGTGATATTCTGCTTCTTGCATATCTCTTATTTCCGGTGTGCATGTGAGACGTGTCGTGTATTATGTGCATCACGATGACGGGGAAGAGTAGTAATGTTGCCGAGCCAGCAGATGACAATACGTTGGCAGCATCCAAGGACTCTTTTCCTACACAATTGTAGTCATAAAATGAATGTACTCTGGTGCTGTTCGCAAAGCTTTCAATCAATGTAGGTGGAAAACAGGTGGTATACTCGTTCAACACGGGCTTTTAACTGCATCAAGACAACTTGGAAGAACATGTGCTTCCTTTTACACGGCCACCGGCGCTTCCACACATGGTCAGATGACAGATCATCTCCCTGTGCTCGTCTCCACTCCCCATGTTATCCTTCATGAGTGACGTGTTCATCAGCCGTAAGCTCAATCCAAAACTCCAGATCATCCGTTGCCGTGGACCTTGCTGGCATCGTCACTTTACCTGCCCACCTACCTTCCTTTTCTAACCAGAGCCTTTTAATCTCCTGATACACACGAAACACTTCATGTTGGATCGCCTGTTGGATCTTTCCCATACCTGCGGATGTGATGGCGGTATTATCGCAAGGCCGGCGAATGTACTGATTCATGTCCAAGTCTGCCCGAGGTGCGTCTCCCCAATCGCCCTTCTCTGGGTCTGGGAAAGCTAGGTCGCGTATGGATACCTTGAAGTAGATGGTTAGTCGTGTGAGATACTGATGGTACCGCGGCGCGGGAAAGAAAATGCCACCTTGAATGGCTAGTGGGTCGCGGAAGAATCTGGGTGATATAGAAGATGTTATTTGAGGTAATTGGATGTTCGCTGTCGATGATGACTGTGCTAAGACGCTTTTGCGAATATAGCACTGAAATGAATTCTTCGCGTAGAAGAAGCTAGCAGCTTCATCGTGAAGTTGCATGCATGTTCTCAGTAATGCAATGCCCGTAATTTTCGTATGTATCATAGGAGATAGTAAGATGCAGTCTCGGGGTTTTAGCAGATGGGCGTAAATGCAGTTGCGCAACTCCGGTGGAATGCTAAGCAAGCTGTGTTTCTGAAGATCGACAGGGACACTCTTCGAGACAGTGCGCGATCGTCGTGCTGATTCCGTGCTATGATCTCTATTTGAGCAACGGTGCGTCCTTTTACTGATCTGTCCGGTCAGCTGTAATGGTGTCGGCTGCGCGACTGCAGTTGGGCGTACAAGACCGAGTGCTGACGAAGCTTGGTTTCCCATAGCAGTAGATCTGTAGATCAAACTTAGTACGGATGCAGAATACGAGCGTGGCGTGGATCGTTTCTTCTCTCGCACTTAGAAAGGGCATATGGGTGTCGCCTTCCCACGAACCCTTAGGTAGGCATGCGCTGGATGCAGTCACCAGGGAAGCATTCCAAGGCAGTGCGTTGGATGCATTGTTGATAGCTAAAGTGGATCTTGTGAGTTAACTGGAATCTTTTCAGTTCCCCAAGGATGTGAAGCATTCGTTTCTCGGCCTTGCCCGTCGCAATGATGAATTCGCTGTGTGAGCTGTACTCTCGACGCTCGACAGACAACCTTGAAGCCGCGAGGTCACGTCCCATGGCTTTGCATTGATTATCGAGGGCTTTCTTGTGCAATTGGAGCTTCAGAGGGTGTAAATGATATACAAGCCATAGCATCGATATAACGAAGAGGGTGAGAATGTGAAGGGCTAGAGTGGCCGCTGGCTGGTTGAGCGGCTCAGACAACGCACGGACGGCTCACCAAAACACGGGCTCGTCATTGTGAACGAACTTCAATCCGTCAACTCCCTGATGTCACGACCTACAGCACTGGCAGAGCACTTGCTATACAACGGTCCTATCATGAGCATTTTCGTTACAGATTCTACCCTCTCGGGCGCCGAGACCTGCCCAAGGGGTGCGCCGCGAGCGCAGGACTAATTAGGTAACGACGAATGGCCGTTGCGTAATTGCCTCCCTAGATCAACTGTCGTCTACGTGCGTTTCATCGCACACCAAGACGATATCTCGCTGTCATTCGTGTCATCATCAAAGACGGATGCATCCCCTTGACACGCAAACGGAACGAAGCGGATATCGGGATGTGGGCTACGTAGCGTTCACACCACCCGACGTGGAGACCAGGTCGCTCGGGACAATACGACCCATGCGGATAGTGACTGACCATGTAGTCGCAGCTCGGGTCATCTTCTCTAGAAGACCTAAGGCACTTTCATGCACCCACAAGATGGCGCCAAGTCTGGGGTCAAGTCCGGGGTGGAACCTGGGGTAAACACCTCGTCAATTGTAAAGTCATCAACGGCTCTATGTCTTGAACGGGCTTGAGACTTGCTAGCCCTGATCATACTACCATCTTGGCTCTTAACCCTAGGTAGCTAGGTCGACCGGCTCCACATTTCACGCTCGACTTTCAACGTCGCCATGACCCGAGGTCGTGGTGCATATTGTGCTGGACAGAGAGGCCAACAATGGGTGTACCGATGAGCTATAAAGACCAGCAACAACATGCTTAAGAAGGTCCAACCTCAGCCAGGAACGCAGACACCACAACATCAACCATGATCGCCTTCAACACCATCGTCGCATTCCTCCTCTCCATCTCATCTGTTACCACTGCCAGTCCAACAGAGCGCCAGGCATCCACCTACCTCAACTGGAAGACCTTCAAAGCCAACGGCATCAACCTTGGTGGATGGCTTGCCCAAGAAGCCGTTATTGACCCAGCCTGGTGGTCGCAGAACTGCGGTACCACGACTGATGAGTGGACCTGCTGTGCCAAACTGGGATCGCAATGTGGCCCTGTACTAGAGCGTCGCTATGCTACGTTCATCACACCCGCCGATATCGACAAGCTAGCCACTGCTGGTGTGAACGTCTTGAGGATTCCCACAACCTACGCTGCATGGGTCAAGGTTCCTGGCAGTAACTTCTACAGCGGCGGACAAACTCGGTTCTTCAAGAACATCGCATCCTACGCAATCGCAAAGTACGGCATGCACATCATTCTCGACATTCACTCGCTTCCAGGTGGAGTGAACGGTATGGGCTTTGGTGAAGGCGAAGGCCGCTTCGGTTGGTTCAATAACGCCACAAACCTCGACTATTCCCTACGCGCTGTCGACGCTGCACTGGCTTTCATTCAATCCTCTGGAACTCCGCAATCATACACTCTAGAGCCGATCAACGAACCGGTGGACAATCGCGACATCACAACCTTCGGCACACCAGCCGCGTTGACAGACAACGGTGTCGCATGGGTACAGAAGTACATTGACGCGGCTATTGCGAAAACAGTAGCCGTGAATAAAAACATACCCGTAATGTTCCAAGGCAGCTTCAGAGGTGAAGCGTTCTGGTCTCCCAAGTTCCTAGCGTCGACCAACCTTGTCTTCGACGTACACAACTACTATTTCGCTGGCCGCCCAACAGACTCTGATACCGTGAGCGTAGACATCTGCTCAGATGCCAAGGCATCGGCAGGAGATGGCAAGTTTCCTGTATTCATCGGTGAATGGTCGATTGAGACGGTGGCGGACAACAAATTTGCAAATCGTCAGAAGAATTTGAACACTGGGCTGTACGCCTTTGCAAAGTACACTAGGGGTAGCGCTTATTGGACCGCATAGTTTTCCGGAAATGTGCCGGTAGCTGGCGAGGGAGTGCAAGGAGACTATTGGAATTACTCGGCTTTTATCGATATGGGTATCGTTAAGCCTGGTGAAGGCGCAAAGTATTGCTCCTAGAGGGTTACATACGTAGATCAGCCCAAAGATGACCTACATGTCATGTAGCAAGGAGGCCACACTGAACCATGTGGACGTAGTTATGTTCGATAGCCGGCCATATGAAGAATACATTCTCTCCACATTCTTGCCTCCAATAATTTCCATGACTACTAGCAACCTGAATATATCAAAATCGAGGGCGTAGGATCCAACAGAGCCGCAAAAGTGACACAAAGCCTTCCATCATAACCTCAACTTTCGATCAAACCTCAATACCCTCCCCCTGTCCAAACATTAGCATGCGTGTTCAACAATAACACAAAAGTAGGGCATGATGCACTTACAAATCATCACATCAACCAATCTAGGTTTAATCTCCTCGACATCCTGATCAAGCAAAACCTCCCACAGCTCCACCACACTTTCCGCCGTCACCATGAACCAGCCAAAGTAACGGTCCCCGAGGCCCTGACCTCTTCTCCTTGGATGATGATCCGCAGCAACGCAGTCCACCTCGACACACTTGAGCCATCTTCGCTTGGTACCAGAGGTTTTGCTGTAGCCGTGGTATTGATATTGCCATTTCTGCACACTTTGGGAAGTTGCGTCGTCGCTTGGGTTATTGTCAACGGGTACTTTTGGCGTCTCGTTCTCTTCCGGCAGAAAGTAAGGATCCAGCAAAACCTCCGCGTCAGCGACAAGGAAGACACGGTCGCTCCTGTAGAAGTTCGGTGGCGGCACGGAATCTTCTGGTGAATTGAGATAGGCCTGGCGAAGCTGTTCGATACTAAGACCGTCGTACAGGGAAGCATCGGAGCGGAAGTCTAGACGTAGGAGGGAGCGTAGGAGTTGAGATGTTGTCGGTGGCTCATCGTTTTGCGACCCAGGGAGGGATTTTTCGACCCCTAGCTGGATGGATTCGATTAGAGATTCCCATTGCGATTGAGATTCTGGCGTGTAGCATGTGCGGTAGATGGTGTAGCCCCATTCGTGATAGGAGTATGGCTCCTCGGCTTGGCCATCCGTTGTTATGATTAGGTCTCGTAGTATGTCTTTGGGTTGCTGGATCATTGCGTTTGGACACGAGATAGTGTCAGTAGAAGGGTGCGGGGTCAGATATCGGGTGATTTTGTTGGGAGAAACAGTCCATTAGTAAATTGACGGCATGCGCAGATTTTGTACTTGCCTGGGTATGTCCGAAGGATCGCTTAGGCCTAAGGCAACAACGCCCGGCACTAACCTCTTGCGAGCTGGTTAGATGGGATTGTGTTATTGATTGAACTTTGCTCTTGGAATAAGTCTCGTATATTAATATTCATAAATACATGAGAGAGAACAACTGAATAAGCTTTCGCAGATGCGAAGGCTTGTAAAATGTCGTCCTAGGTGTTGCACTCCTCCATGGTCTCGATCAAGACCTCCCGAGTCATTAACAACCACCGCGACGACATAGTCCCACCGCCCGCGAGCATCAACCTGCCCAGGTATTCATTATGCCTACATTATGCACGTAAGTAGAGGTGGTCATGCATACCGTGGCAGGTACCCACCTGCGAAATCACCCTTTTTCCTCAAAGCCTCCCTCACCTCATTCTCTCTGCGTATCCGCTCTTCTTTCTCCCTATTCTCCTTGCGTATCCGCTCTTCCTTCTCCTCTTTCTCTCTCTTCTTCCTAGCCTTCTTCTCAGCCTTCTTCTCCTCCTTCGCCAACTTTGCTTCCACCTCCTTCTTCATCTTCTGAAACCCATCATACCAACTAGCATTGCCACTATCTGATCTATGTATGCTGTCTTTGCCCAGCACACGATCAGTCTTGTCTTGCTGCCTTTTACGGCCGCGATCCCACACTTGCCACATGTAGGGGTCGTTTTCTAGTCCTGGTGGTGGTGTAAGCTGGCGGGGCTGTAGATTCTTCCGGGGTCGGTTCGTGCGCTGGAAGTAGGCTTCTGGGGTTATCTCACGGCCAGGGAACATGAGACTGGAGGTGGTAGAAAAGGCGGGTGATATGTTACGTGGTTCAGGTTGAAGGAAGGTAGAGGAATACTCTTGCAGGTGAATGTTCGGAACAGAACGCGTGGGAGTGGTGCGTTGATAAGGGCTAGAGGAACTCTCTGATCGAGCGGTGGTTTGTTGCTCATCTGGTGCGGTTGCATCTGCACTGGCCCCTTCATTTGCGCTTCGCTTTCCTTTCACCCAAGACAGGGGCCTGACAAACCCAAGTGGCAGATACTTCCCCACCGAGGGTTCTGAGTCACGGCGGGTAACTTTCTTCTTGAGCTTCCGAGTCTCCTTCGAGTCTCGTGGTGGAACCACAGCGCTTGGTGCGATGGATTGAGATTGAGGGTTCTTTTGTGGCCGGGCTTGAAGAACGGGCGGACACCAGTATCCTGACATCCCCATGAGACCGAATGGGGCTTCTGAAGAAGGAGAGATTGTAGAAGGCATAGAGGATGATGAGGTTGCCTGACCTGCAGGCTGATGCGCAGCGCGTTGGCTAGAGTGACGTGGTACAGATGTATGCCAGTCGGGTTCGTGTTCTTCAATAAAACGAGATGCGTTGTAAGTATGTATGTTCGTACTGGGGCTGCCAGCAGGCCCTTCGTTAACGTCGATGGCTGAGTCCTCATAGTCTTCTAAACTCAGAGCGTGCAATAGGTAGGACTGTTTATCGGTGGCTTGCACTACCTGTCTGGGTTCATCAGTTGCATATTTTGGTCTTCCTGATATTTCTATATCAGAGGATCGCTTACGTTGGCGCTCTCGGCCTCCTCATCAGCCCAACGCACCCAAGCTCTCTGCTCTGTCATTCGCGACATTATGCTTGCTGCATCGTTAACTTCCTCCTTCGCCTTAATATCGTAGAGCCCTTGTTCCGGCTTGCTAGTCATTTCCCTCTGCCACATCTCCTCGAGAGACAACCTGGGACTGTCCCCAACCATGTCCCCATGTATCATCTGCGTCCTGCGCCGTATCGTTTTTATCGCCTTTCCGATCTCTTTTGTAGCATTGAGATAAACCGCATCATCGTGAAAATGCACGGAGACTTCCCAGCCCCGCTTCTGAAGGTCCTCGAGTATCCGTATTTCGGAGGGGACAGGGTCGTCAAGCACGTAGGTAAATAGCGGGTCGCAAGCTTCGATAGATTGCGTGGGTGGTTGGACTAGATATGGCATCTTCTACAAGCGTCGTGTGGCGGTGAGAAATTAGCAGATGCCATGAGGCTTTGTACGCTGTCGGGTGCATTCATCGTCGAGGTAACTGGCTACTGACGTCAACATTTTCCCATACTTCACGCTCAGTATTTTCACACTTCAGATATGTCATTACCAGAAGGACGGTCCTTGAATGTTGAACAGAGCGAAGACATGTTGCCAATGAATATGTCTATTGGGTATCATAGGTTGTTATCGTCGGCGCATCACCATTCTACGGGACGTCGTTATCGTTGGCCGTTTCCTCGTTCTTCAGTCCTCTTATGCGATAGAGCCAGCTTCAGACGCTCTAAAGCGAGGTTTGAGGTGCGCGATATCCTGTAACGCGCGGTTCGCAGTCTCAGGACGTGATGCGCCGATTGCGGCGAAGGCGTGAAGGTTGCAGAGTCACAGAGTCGCTTTCCACATAGTTCCTATCACGAATGTGAGCAACCATCAAACGCGTGTATGTCCGGCGTGTGCGTCGCGATGGAGGGTTTGTATTTGGTGTGGGGTGAGGAGTTGATGCTCAGGGAGGGCTCAAAACCATATCTTGATCAGCTCCTCTGACACGGCAGACGGAGTGAGAACGCCAGACTCGGTGATGATGCCGGAGATCAGGTCGGGCGGCTAGTTCAGGTTAGCGGATGGGGTCATAATTGAAGTAAGCAGAGCGTACCGTAAAGTCGACAGCGTCATGAGCGTCGAGCGGAACGACGGTCGATCTCTGCTTCGCAGTCATGTCTGCGATGGCTTCGTCAAAGACATTCCGTTGCTCTTCGTCGCTCTTGGGCTTGTGTTCCGGCTTGTGTTCTTCTGCGACCTTGAAGTCGAGTACCTTCTGCTCAATGGGCAGATCGAACTGGCTGAGTGGATATAGCCTAACGAACTTGTGGCTCTCGGCGACCACGTAGAAGGGCTTTCCTTTGCTCTTAGCCAGTACGCCCAACTGGTACGTGCCCATGCGCGATATGATGCCACCATTCTCGACGACGCCTTCAGCCCCGACAATGACCATGTCGACTTTACCCAGTGAGTAGGCGACGGCCGAATCTGGAATTGTGGCGACTGGTACATTGTGCTCTCGGAGGTCGGCGACAGTCTGGAGGCCCTCTTTCGCATCTGACGAGCTTGACGAGGGCAGGACGTATATGACCTTGAACCGGAGAGTGCTCGACTCGGCGGCCGTTCGCAGTAGTGCACCCACTACTCGCGATCCTCCATTTGTGAGCACCGTGCCGCCGTCGCGGATGAAGTGCTTGCCGAAACTCGCGATCTTCTCCCTGCTCTGTTTCGCACGGTCCACAAACAGCTTGCCGTTGGAGAGGAGGTGGTTGCGTATCGCGCGGAAGTCGTCGTCGGGGCCGAGGTTCAGGCTCGCCGGGCGGTTGAGAGTCGTGATGAGGTAGCGCTGGAAGAGATCTGTGCCGGCGGAGAGAGAAATTGGGTTCGCGATAGAGGCCTTGAGGGCGGCGGTATGGCGTTCGAGCAGGTCGAGCGTCTCTGCGACGGTCGAGACGGAGCTCTGCGCGATGGCTTCTACGAGCGCCTCGATGGCCGCGACGGGCATGGTGAGTTCCGGGTCATCTTTGAGGATGCGGCGGTATGTCGCTACAATGTCGAACGTCGACTGTGTCTTGACTCCTGATTCGGTGCTCATCTTGGCGGTTGGTTGCAGCGTGTCGTTCCCGTCAACTTTTTGGCCTGCAACATTTTGGAGGGGTGCTTCGCGATTGAGTCATTCGCCAAGATTGGAGGGCTAGCCCGTCATCCCTCCCCAGGCGTTCACCTTTCGACGCGCCAAACCACTCTTGCCATGACTTTACACTGCTGCATGGGTTTTACTGTATTCATCTCACACCCTGCTGCTCTGGAATCTAGGAACAGCCGGACGACTGCTTTTACCCACTTCAACACCATGGCAAGTATCCATCCGCAATCGCCTTCACTGCTTCGGTATGAAGCGGTTGGTGTAATGCTCCGTTTGCTACGGAATCTGCAATCATCGGATGCCACTCGCCCATAACGATGATCTGGCCCGCTATGTCACGATACGTTGATCAAACTCACCCTCCGCTGTGACTGCACATTACTTGAAGAGCCAGACTCACTCAACGCCAACACGTAGTTTCCGATCTTCGGTGTTCTCACTGATAGTACTCTCACTTTAGCAAACAGTTAATTACATTCGTCTAAGATTACCTTTTAGCAATCAAAGGGCCGCAAGGTATCCCACTGCCAAAGCTACACCTACTAACTACAACAACCAATACTGCTCCTGGGAAAGTTACGATGCCGTACATCATCTATGTGCCCGGAGTCCTGCAGCCATACATCACCAACGATCCGAGGATCTACATGGACTGTTTCAAAATCTTCGAGTGGGTGTGCGAATCACGGCCCTTCTGCGATGCATTCTGCAAGGCGTTCCGGCAAGACGAGGATGAGCAGTTCCTCTCCGACAGGCGTCGCGGCCAACTTGAAGCCTACTGGATCGAGGAGCTCGAGCGGCGGACCAAGCCGAAGGGAGCACTTGAGTCGCTGAAGAAGGGCAAACGACTGTCAACTGAAGCCGCCGTCGAGCATTTGGCGGAGCATGACATCGATAAGAGTGTGTTGTCCAAGATCAACGACCGGGAGGAAGGTGCACTCTGATAGCTGGTGGATTCTCATGGTAGTCACAGCCTTCATCACCAAACGTCATCTATGGTACGATCTCACCTTCTCGTTTTTGGGCCCTGCTAAATTGAGTAGTAAATAATAAACATCAAGCCTTTTTCGCTTGTAACCCAACACGCTTGACGACTACATCATACTGCTTTTACATTCTTTAGTCTCAACGGAGGCGGTATCTATTTACAGTTCCCTTCTTATCACAAAACACAACAGCGTACTGTTGGGCCAATCCGAAAATGCCCTCACTTTGCGACCCATCGGAGTATCTGCCCAGTCAGCAGATCCCACCAAGACCGTCTATCAACTTCATCCCCTACGACCCCGTTTCCATTGAGATACCTATGGAGGCCTTCTACCGCGAGTACCGGGTAGATTCACCGGGAAGGATAGTGAAGTATCGCTATGTTACTACGCCATCTGCCGTGGCGTGCAGAATCACAGTCGTTTCGCTTTCTACCATCATAAACTGGCGGGCGGGTATCTCCGAACTGGCACCTCCGGGTGCTCTCTTCAACAAAACAGATGGTCTGTACTATCAAGACGAGGTCGTTCCGTCACAAGGCCAAACGCCACCCGACAACAAGCCATCATTCGAGTCATTTGTTCGACGAGTAAACTCACACGCTCCTACTACCGTACGGAATCCACTGACGGCTCATGACGAAGCTCAGTCCGCCCCCGACGGCAAGCCAACGTTCGAGTCATGTGTTCGACGACTGAAGTTACATTTTTCGACTGCTGTACAGCATCCGCCGATGTCTCATGCCGAAACTCAGTCCGCCCCCGGCTTCGTAGCAGGCCATGTCCAACGCACTGCGGAAGGTCCTTTGTCCGACGAGCAACTCCATCCGACTCCTTCAGGCAAGGAAGAAGGCTACAAAGCCGCCGAAAAAGGTCTCTCAAGATATGCGCCGCAGTCGGCAGGAAGATCTCTCGACGAGGAAGTTATTGGACACAACTGGGTTAAGCCTGGGCCAGGAAACAAGCGCGCGCATGGATCAACGACTACACCACCCGGTTTACGACGTGGTAGGAGTGCAGTCGGTGAAGGATTTCGCGAATAACTGACCCACGAAGCAACGAGCGTTGCATATAAATGATCTTGGGCGTGTGAGTTCATTGGAAGACAGATGTTGCACAGGAGATGGAGCTGGGCGAGCAAGATGTCGATGGAGTGTGTTGTGATCAACGCCTAGGCATGTCTCGCACAAATGAATTCAAACATCTACACACTGCATTTTCACCTCTGATGGCTTCCCAACCCTTCTTCAACGTAGATTGACCATGCAATTGATACGGCCGTTGTTCACTACGTGCAGTAAGCGTCCAATTCGTCTCTCAAACAGACGCTCAGCTAGATAGAACAGCAATCACTTGGCGTGGCTGCAGACAGACCAACAGACAAAAAAGGTCGTCATAATTGTTAGCGAATCATCGCGACATCTGAAGCGGCTGTGTCTGGCGATGACGCACCTTGCACGGCACTCGCGGGTCTGTCCGTGGATCCACGGCGCTCAACGTCATATGCATGCGCCAATGGAGCAGGAGTTTTCAGAAGACCCTGAGCCTGTCCGCACCGAGCACGCGACCTCTTACCTAAACGAGCGTCACCAAAACCTGCATCATAGAACTTTTCCCGCTATAACATATACGCAATCGTCCATCGAAGAACCGTCTTGTCTACACATATCCCACCAACAGCAATATTGACCGCAATTTCGGTGTCGCTCCCGTCTTCAGTCAGCCCATCATCAACAACATGGCCATACTATCAGACATCGCCTCGAAAGTAAAAAACACACGACTCGTTCCACCCACCGAAGGCGAACTATCCGCGGCCAAAGACTCTAATCAAGATACATTTCCCCCTCAAACCCAAAAAAGGCAACGACCAATCCTTGAAATAACTTCCTACGACCGCTTCACACCACCATCCCCTAAGCCTGACCTGGAATACGACTGCCGCGTGACAGAGAACCCATCGCAAAAAACGCGGAAGACATGCACGGGGCTCGACTCGACGCTGCAAGATGAGCTCATGCAGCGCGAGTCTTTTAGCGACACAGTCACCCGCGCTGAAGAGGATATAAAACGGCTCATGGAAATCAAGGATGTAAGAGCTAGTAGGGAAGAGGAAGTGGCGATAGTACGAGTGGGGTGTTTATGTGGAAGTGGACATCACAGAAGCGTGGCTTTTGCGGAGCAATTGGGGAAAGTGAAGTGGAGCGAGGATGATAGCTGGGAGATTAGGGTTGTGCATAGGGATTTGACGAAGGGAGTGGAGGAGATGAAGAGGGTGAGGGGGGAAGAGAGCGGGAAGGAGGGGGGAGATAGGAGGGTGGATGGGGAGAAAGCTGGGGAGTGAGGTGTTTAGACACGGATGGATGTAAGGAGTATTGTAGTATAATATTATTACGGCGTTGCCTATCGTCCAGCGTTATTGGGCAAACCTCAGCCTCGAGATAACCAAGCATGCCGAGGAAGCACCACCGCAGTCATCCCATCAGTTTCTCCACCCGGAGTCGCCTTCGCATCGCCACCGTCAGCACCACCGCCTCTCAGCCCTCCCGACAGAAGCTCCTCGTCCTCATCTTCATCATCTTCTCCAATAACCTCATGAACATCCGAAAAAGGATCAAGCAGCCCCGACATCTCCCTCATCTGCTCTTCAGCCCACTTCCTCATCCTCTTCTCCTCCCTAGGACCGTGCTCAATCCTCAGTCTCTGCTCATCACTCCCAACCCACGTATCCTTACCCCAAACCCGCCAGTGCGCTTTCTTCGCGCTGTTCAAAACAGATTCCAGCCTACTCTTCCCGTTAGCCGCCTCCGCCTCCGCCTTCTTCCTCTCATCCTCCCCGTTAATCCTCAGCCCAGTTTCCCTCTGCCAAATAACCCAAATATCGTCGTCCCAAGTGTTCTTCTTAGCAAGCTTTTCGTATTTCGCAAACCACTTCTCCATCTTGGGGAGCGAGCGGTCGGTGTTGTAGAGGCGCCAGCCCCATGCCGCACAGTCTTTTGCGATGGCGGCGTTGCGCGTTGTGAGGGTTTCTGAGGAGGCGGGGGTTAGGAGGATGTATTGGGCTGTTGTGGTGGGGTGGCGGTTGTAGTGGAGGACGTAGGAGCTGGAGCGGTAGTAGGGTGGGATTTTGAGGATGAGGACCATGGTTGCTGTTGTGAGGGGGGTTTTGATCTTGGGTGTTTTGCTTGGGTAGCGGGGTATGGATAGAGGGGAGTTAGATACGGATTGAGGTTTAGAGTGTTACGATGGAAAACTAGGGGTAGAGGGAAATGTTACCCTTCACCGATTGAATGCCCGGATCGTGAGAGTTCTCTCTCGTTACGCACTCGGAGCATTCACGCACATATGTGTGACCTCTTGCGGCTTTCTAATATTAGCAGGCCCAGGTCAACTATATGAGTGAAAGTACACTGTGCGTTGAAGTCACCAACTCCGAACGTAAACGCACAGAGACTGCATGGAATCTCTAACACGTACTCGCGTTTGTCCACCCACCTGCACAAGTCCCACTCCTCGGCAACCTCATACATCCAATCAAAATGAATGACCGCCATTCACACGAAATACAATACCTCATCCACCCACCCCGTCGCACCGTCGTCTTCACCACAGACAACCCGTTAATAGCAGACGTCCTAAGGAAGCGTCACAATTGGCTTGGTCGCGTCACAGAACGTAGCGCACTTCCAGCTTGTATCAGCACTTCATGTATACGGGAGCTTGATGATGGTAACGTTCTGATCGATCATGAGGCAGCAAATGGCGAGCTCCTTGCAGCAGATATACGGGCTCTGCTTATACGAAAAGGGTTTGTGCAACCAGATTTACGCTTTGTTGGGCGCATGATACGGTCTGTACATAAGAGGCAGGTTGTGCCTCCGAAATGCACGGATATAGCGGCTGGTGATGAAGACGAGGTTGATATCTGGAGCGATGATGGGTTGGATGAGGCCAAGGAGGATATAGGTGTTCAGGAAAAAGATATCGTGGACGTGGATAGAGGAGAGAAAGATTCTCAGGAGAAAGGTGGTTTAGACGAGCCTGTCACAGCGGAATCTTGATGCAGAGGGGTCAGGTGACTACGTAGTGCCCTTGATCTGTTGAAATGGAATGTATTGTATATTCTAGGCCTTCAAATGAAACGAGTGCCGGGAGGAGACATGGATCTGGGTATCGCTGAAACAAAGGAACAGAAGATGATGTAGTTGGCAGGCCTATATGGACCAGCCGGCTTTCTTCTTAGCGGCCTTGGTGGTCATGGTGGGTTCCGAGGGTGGCGGCGGCTTGATATCCTTGAGATCTGGTAGCGGGTCTTTGTCCCTTATCTCCAGTATAGTCATCTGTGCAGCTAATGTCGACTGCCCATCTGCAATCGTATCGCTAGGAGCAGACACATCGTCGCCTACCGGGCCACCTTCAAGGGAAACACCGCCGTCTTCTTCATCCTCAACTTCTTCATCGTCGCCTGCCTCGTCAGCCTCATCGTCGTCGTCAGCCTCTGCGCCGGCTGCAACATCTCCAGCGTCGCCATCGATACCATGCTCTTTCATGTACAATTCTAATTCCTTCGCCATTTTTTTGCTGAAGCCGGAAGCTTGAACCTCAACATCTAATCGCTTGACGAGCTTCTTTGTGGCGTCCTTGAAGAAAGGACCCGGCTCGTCGCTCGTGAAGCCAAAACGGCGATCGAAGAAGCGCTTTATGCAAGCCACATCGCGGTCAAAGTAGTATTCGGCATTGGCATGGTCAATGGAGACCATCTGCGGGAAATCGATGAGGGTTGGCACCAGTGACAAACTACCCTCTTTTTCTGTTCTCTCTTCAACTAGGATGTTGAACTCGTTGAAGTCACCATGGATGAGACCGTGCTGCGCGAGGCGAACGATAATGGCAAGCAGCTCACCGTAGAGCTCCTGCGGGTTGCCGACCTTTGAGATTTGGCGCATCGGGAAGGCATCGATAAGGCTCATGACGACCGTATGTCTGTTCTGACCAATCGGCTCGGGTACAGGGAATCCCTCAGCTCGTAGGGCCTTCATGAATTCGAACTCTTTTAGAGCAGCGAGGCGCGACATGTACATCCATGAACCACCCTGGCGATTCCGCAGGTAGTCGCGGTTCGCCTTGACGGTACGGAAAGAAATGCGACCCAGACGGTGGATTTTGAGCACCAGTTGCCTGCCCGTCTCATCTGCGCAGACTATGATATCCGACTCTTTGCCTATGCCGATCTGGTTGCCGACCGAGTAGACGGTCGAGGCCTTTTGGTGTGTGTGGAGGGCGAGGTAGTCGAGACCGCCATACGTGAGTCGGTAGCCGTCGTACTTTGCGTTGCGGACTTTGGCGATGAGGCCGATCTTGGCGAGGTTGGAGATGCAACGGTGGACGCCGTCGCCTGAGCGGATGGCGGCGATCTGAGCAATCAGGGGGGTTGGCACGATTTCATGGTTGCGGCTGCCCATCTCTGTCTATCGTCTTCATCAGCGTTAGTCCCCCACTACGTTCGGAAAGCCTGCGGGCGGGCGCATACCGCAGTGAGAACACGCCAATCATCGGCGGAGAGGTACCGAATATTCTTGACGTTCAGCTTCATGGTAGTTGCCTGGGTGGCCTATCGGCGTCGTGTGGTGGTGATTTTCGAGAGTGTATGCGGCAACAATAATTTTTGGCGGGAGGTTCTGAGCGGCGGGCGGCGCTCATCATCGGCGGACGGGCTTGGCCCTAGCGCGGCGGAAGTGGTACGCGAAGCAAGAGCTGCCTCATCGACATCAACCTATTACCACTCCCCACTCGACTTGCCTCTCGCTCTTCCGACCCATTTGAGCGCCGCATCACCATCTCCCAGCACCCCGAATCTCTTTCCACCGTCGCTATCGACGCCGCTTCGTCCCGACACATACACACTCTTCGCCGCTTGCCCTAGCTACACATCATCAACATGGCGAAGGACGACGAGAAGAAGCCCACGGCCGCCGACAAGGGCAAGGGCAAGGCGCCTGTGAGCAATGACGCGGACAAGAGCAAGGACGCAAAGCCAGATCTTGAGGACAAGAAGGGCGGTGTTGCGACAACTGGCGGTATGTCTGGTCCCCGGCACAGCGCCGACGGCTATCGTCATGGACTTGCACTGATGACAAACCACAGAGGAGCTCAGCGAAGAAGACCAACAGCTGAAGAGCGACCTTGACATGCTGGCTGAGCGGATACTGGTAAGCTGCTGCGACGACGGCTGCTCCCCGCAACATGCGCTGACCTCATGTGTTTACTAGGGTTCCGATACCAGCCTCTACAAGCCCGCCCTCGAACAGATCAAGGAATTCATCAAGACATCGACGAGCTCCATGACGGCCGTGCCCAAGCCGCTCAAGTTCCTCCGACCACACTACGAGAACCTAGAGAAGGCCTACGCATCATGGCCAGCAGGCGAGAACAAGGTGCGCAGACCCGATAACACTCTGTACACGCCACCATGCTAACAAGCACAGCGCTCGCTCGCCGACATGATGTCTGTTCTGGGAATGACGTATTCGGATGAGGACCGCCTAGACTGCCTCAAATACCGCCTTGAGGCCCCCTCCACAGATCTCGGCTCATGGGGCCATGAGTACATGCGCCACCTTGCGCTTGAGATCGGCACAGAATACCAGAACCGCCTGAACGACGAGAAATCCACCGACGACGTCACCGACCTCGCCTCAAACCTCGTCCCCTTCTTCCTCAAGCACAACGCAGAGGCTGATGCCGTTGATATCCTGTCTGAGCTGGAGATGATTGATCAGATTGAGCAGTACATCGACGAGAACACATACTCGAGGGTGGCTCTATACATGGTCAGGTAGGATATGTCCGCATTTTGCCTGCAACACCGACACTAACACCAGCAGCAACGTGCCCCTACTCACCTACCCAGACAACGACAAGTTCCTCCGTACCACGTACCGAATCTACGCCAAATACAAGCAGTACACACAGGCAATCGTCATCGCGATACGATTACACGAGACCGATCTCATCATTGAAGCTTTCAACGCCACCAAGGACAAGTCGATCCGGAGACAAATGGCCTACTTATGTGGCCGCCAACGGATATGGCTCGACGTCTCCGAGGACGACGATGCCGAGCTCCAGGAATGCATCAACAACACGCGGCTACCCGACCACTTTAAGGCGCTGGGCAAGGAGCTTAACATTCTCGACCCCAAGACCCCTGACGACATCTACAAGACACATCTGGAGAGCAGCAGGACGGCTGGCCTCACCAATACCGATTCCGCCAGACACAACCTTGCTTCAGCCTTCGTCAACGCCTTTGTCAATGCCGGTTACGCCAATGATAAGCTCATGCTTAACGAGAACACAAAGCAGAGCTGGGTGTGGAAGACCAAGGAGGAGGGCATGCTGTCAACAACAGCGTCTCTGGGTATGCTCATGCTCTGGGACGTAGAAGAGGGTCTCGATAAGGTCGACCCCTTCACACACGTCGAAGACGACATGGTCAAGGCCGGCGCTATGCTTGCTACCGGTATCTTCAACTCGGGCGTGCGCATGGACTCAGACCCTGCCATGGCTCTCTTGGGTGATGAGGACAACATCAATTCCAAGAACAAGAACATCCGTTTGGCTTCTATCATGGGTCTCGGTCTTGCTTACGCCGGGTCTAATAAGGAAGACCTTTTGGACGTTTTGCTGCCGATCGTCAGTGACACCAGCCTCGACATGCAGCTTTCTGCCATGGCGGCGCTGTCGCTTGGTATGATCTTTGTTGGTTCGGCCAACGGAGATGTCACTGATGCCCTGATGAACACGCTCTTGGACGAGGACCGGACGAAGCAGCTCAAGGACAAGTGGACCCGATTCATGGCTCTTGGTCTTGCGCTACTCTTCTTCGGCCAGCAAGAAGAAGTCGATGTCATTCTGGAGACCTTGAAGGCGCTTGATCACCCCATGGCCAAGTCTGCCTCTGTGCTCACCGAGGTATGCGCATGGGCAGGTACCGGTGCTGTCCTGAAGATCCAACAGTTGCTCCACATCTGCAACGAGCACATCGAGGATGAGAACGAGGAGAAGAAGGGCGATGAGCTACTCCAGTCCTACGCTGTTATCGGTCTATCATTAGTCGCCATGGGCGAGGACGTCGGCCAAGA